GGTGCCGTGCACCAAGGAACAACTCTCTGCTGGCATCCGGCTCACTCTCCCTTGTCTCCTCCCCACTAGTCCAAGGCTCAGGCACCTCCTGGTGGCCAACCAGCCTCTCTGCGCCCTGTTTGGAGTCGGAACCCTGTCCAGGGTCCTCCACATCCTCCAGAGCCGACTCATAGGGCCCCTCGCGGTCGGAGTCTGGTGGCAGCTCCAACGGCTCCCGCTGGGCCACAACAGTTATGTATGAGTACAAATTACGAATTAGCAATTTTAACATATTAAAATCCATTTTCTTTATTGACCTTTTTAGTGATAGCCTCAAACTTTTGTTATCTGATGTATTTGTTTTTTCTCTTTAGTATTCCTTTTACCAACAATTAAACGAGCGGAAAAAATCCGAAAAGTTTTTTAAAGTTTTGTACGATCGGATGAAAACAGCCCAGCTGGAAATTAGGTCCACGGTGACCGTGAACACCATTGATCTGAGCAGCAAGAAGAAGGACGAGGACACAGACATGACCATTTCAGCTCCAAAAAAAAGAGGTAAACAGGAAAAAAAAAGGGGGGAAATATTTCTTGCCTTAGGCTGGTTTCAGGGCAGGCGGGAGAAAAATAGGTTTTGGTTAAAAAAAAAAAAGCAGGAAAAAGAGCATTTGTGATTTTGCCTGGCTCGCATTGATGTGTATCCTACCTGAGCATAAAAACCTAGTAAATAGATAAAGGTTTTCCTAAATCACTATTGTGCTTCTTACAACTTCAAGGTAGCTTGTGGTAAAATGACATACCTTGAAGTACAATTCTACTGTTATATAATTCATTTGTTCGTTCATTATTCATTTATTTGTTCATTTGTTTGTTCATTCATTCCATAATTTATATGTTCTTCTCATGTACATGACTCTGAACAGCGAATGGTTAAAATAAATAGAAAGGAAACGAAACATAGTCGGTAATAAAAACAGAAACAGATCAATTTATTCGTTCATCATTCATTTTGATTACGATTGGTTCGTTAATCTGCAGGCAGTCCTCGACTTACGACCACAATTGAGCCCAAAATTTCTGTGGGCTAAGCGAGATATTTGTTGAGTGAGCTTTGCCCCATTTTACGACTTCCGTTGTTAAGTGAATCGCTACAGATGTTAAGTTAGTCAACCGGTTGTTCAGTGAATCCAGCATCCCCATTGACTTTGCTTGTCAGAAGTCGCCATAGGGGATCACGTGACACACACACACCCAGGACGCTACAACCGTCATAAATATGAGTCAGTTGCCAAGCGCCTGAATTTTTGAATCATGTGACCACAGTCGTAAGTGTGAAAAACGATTTTTCAAAGTTGTGACTTTGAGCTTTCACCACAAATGAACTGTTATAAGTCGAGGGCTAGCTATAATTTATTTATTATAACTACTACCTATTATTATTATTATTATTATACAATTGTATCACAGCAGCCAGTTGTTTCGCCGGATTTGGCATTGGTTACTAGTCGGGCCCCACCCAGGGGCCNAAAATTTAAGAATAAGCCTTCTTTTCCCCCCCCCCCCTCAAAAACATCCTTAATATCCCAATTGACTTGTCAATTAAACTCATTAATTTCAGGGACCTTCTCGGGACAAGATGTGGACAAATCCGGGGCGTCCATGCATGACATTCAGTGCCTCTTGGATAAAGAAGGGGCTTCGGAACTGGTCACCGATGTCATCGTTAGTACCAAAAATGACCGGATATTCTCGGAAGCCATCTTGCTTGGCATCGCGTTGCTCGAAGGAGGAAACACCCAAATCCAGGTGCATTTTGGTACCTTAATATCTCCTAGCCAATTTTAACCCCTGGAATTTTCTAAGGCAAGGAAGAAAACAGGACCAGGGTGGAGAAGGATTAGGAAAATAGCTAAAAATATAACAGGTATCATAATTATGTACGTACGTACGTATGTATGTATGTTCCAACATCACTCTGGAAAGCCTCAAGCAATTTCAACCAAACTTGGTACAGAGATGACTTACTCTCTAGAAAAAGACACTGTGGGGGATAAGACACCCCTAACACCCCTCAGGGTGTATGTTCTGTTAAGATACAGCCTGTTGTGCCTTAAAATGGCTTCTACCGTACTGCCGTAAAACAACTTCTATTGTACTGCCGAAAAATGGCTTCTACTGTACAGTGCTGTGGAGTTGCCATGGTTAGGGTTAGGGTTAGGCTTCACAGTACTCCACTCCCTCTCATAAGGGGGGAAATCCAACATTAGAAATTATGCTTGGTCTGGAGATTTTCCCCCTATCAATAAATATCCGGGCAACACCGTGTTATCAGCTAGTTTTCTATATAAGCCACAGAAAGGGCTGTCCCCTGGCCAGCGTCTGTAAATATGTGGTGTGTTATTTGTGGAATAGGGTTTTCAATAGAAAAAATGTTCCCAGGTACAGGGAGTTCTTGACTTATAATGATTCATTTAGCGACCACTCTAGGTTATGACGCCTGAACTAAAAAGAGTGATTTATGATCATTCCCCCCCCCCGCTTGAAGCCATCCCTATGGTCATGTGATCTAAATTAGAATGCTTGGCAACTGGCATGTACTTATGACGGTTGCAGCCTTCCCCGGGGGGGGGAGTCATGTGATCCCGTTTTACGACCTTCTGACAAGCAGGAGATGCCAGATTCATGTAACAATTGTGTTACTGTCTTAACAAGCGCAGTCAGTTGTTTAACCACAGAAAAGTTGTAAAGTTGTAAAGTGTGGCAAAACTCCCTCAACAACTGTCTCGCTTAGTATATTTTGGTCTTGATTGTGGTCACAAGTCAAGGAGTGCGCTAATGTGACCTCACAATAAAGTTAGAGCCTTTAAGGGTGCTCCTTATCTGAACTACTTCACAAAAATTGATACTTGAGTGATTAGGAGTTAAATTGGAGAGAAAAACGGGAAGATACAAAAAATAAAGGACGGCTTACCTGATCAAACACAGGTTATGTGTTCTGACCCCCCCCCCCCGGGTCCAGTAACGAATGCCGAGACAAGCTTAACTGGAATGTCACAGCACTTTATTAGCAAGAAACCAAAACCTCGGTGGCTGAAAGCCAAGCATAACA